TCCCACTGTCCCATTTTCCAATACACCACATTTCTGCACTGACAACTGGTAATTGCACGGCAGGATCTGAAACATTTTGGCAACAGATCACAAAACTCTTCAGGACGTAGGAGGAAACATGGGATTACTCAAGAAATGGGAACACATTAGCCAGTTAACATGATCAGAAAATTAACATTCAAAAAGTCATTTACAGGTTTCAGGGTTAGCAAAGGAAACAATTCAGGAAGTTTAGAACTGTTATTTCATATTGCTGGAATGTGTGCATTTATCTTCAGAGTAAAGTAAAAGAAGTAAAGCAGGGTCTGGGTCTGTAACACACACTGGCCTGTCACAAGTGGGCCCCAAAAGCCAAGAATTTCAGCAGTCCCTGTGGAAGTGTCATCATCCACTTTTGGTTACACACAGCCCAGGTCAAATCTCATCAGCTTCCCGACCACATACAGCCCCATTTTTAGTGTTTAAAATTCCACAAGGGTTCTGCCTGAAGCAATACCAGAATCGAGCTGCAAGTAAATAATGCACAGACAACAGTAGAAATAACATTTTTCATTTAGTGTTTGCAATTTGTTTTACAGCTTATAATGAAATACTGTTAGAGATATTCTACATTCATACGTTTCAGGCAAAATACAGTTTTAAAATCGTAAGGCACTTTAAGACTTCCTAAAGCAAATCTTTGTGATAAAAATTGAACAAGAAGGCTGAATGAGAACCCTTTCTACCCTTAGTGTTCAAGTCAGTAAATGATCAATTCTCTAGTCAGGCAGGCAAGTGAAATAATCAATAGAAAGGTTTCCAAGACAGAGTTACTGCTGTATTAGTGTGCATTCTGAAGCAGTCTATCTTCAGTTGGGGAGGCAGGGCATGGTGTGAATAAGATGCATTAAAATACTTCTTTGAACTGGGTAACAAAGATGCATTGCAAGGATTAAGTTTCATTACTTTCATTGGATTAAATTCCTTCCATTCATTATTGCCAACAAGAGTAAGGGACAAAAAGGAGCTGGTTCTCCCTTCCCTCCCCCCGACTCCCATTATAATTCAACACAAGATTTCAAAGACTTAAAATGACCAGGACAGAAGCCCATGAAAAACTGCATCTGGCCACTTCAGAGTATGTTTAAATATTCATTACTGACTTCCTCAGGTCTCACCTCTTATTAAAGAAAGAGAAACATAACAGAATTGGCAACTGTATAAGTTGCTTTCAGTCAAACTGATATTTTGCTTCTTCCTAACACGACCCCACTGCTCACACTAAGTACCTGCATTCAGAGACACACCAGCAGCTCCCCTTGGCAGGGCAGAGGATGAATGCAGGCAGGGCCCAGGGCCCCACGGGGAAGAAGGAATGAGCAACTTTGATTCACACACTTGTGTCTCAGCTTCAGAACAGTTTCAAAAGCCAGACATGCTGGGCTGCTGTAGCAACAAGGGGACTGATACCAAAACACCAACTGAAGACTTCACTTGAAAATGCATCTGTAGGAACTGAAATCTGCTACTTAGAACTGACAGGAAAAGCTACGATGCTGGCAAAAATCACTGCCTGTGTGTTTTCAAGTTGTGTCTAACCTGTTTTATTGCCCAGTACATTTTCAAGTCTTTGGTGGGGGTAACAACTACTGAAAAACTTGACTCCCAGAGGCTTAGTGTGTTAGGTACTCCAGTACACACCTGCATCCCTAGTCAAATCTCAAATCTACCTCTGAGGGCAAGAGACAAACCCAATCACCCAATCTTTTTTTTTTTCTTACAAGACCTCAATTGCTTTAAATTCTGACTTACTTGAATTGCACTTTAAAGCCCAGCAGCAAAAAGAAAACTTGGTAGCTATATTCAGGAATATATATAAATTTTTAAGAGACATTTTATCAAGTCTAAAAATGCATAGAGATATCAACTGCATAAGCTGTCAAGTTTTAACCTAGCTACAGTGAAGAAGTTGTGAAAAAAAGGTTAACCTATTAGACCATGTAAAAAGGGGGCAGAAATGGGATGCCTGTTCAGTTAGGAAAGAAAATGCAGTTAAGGATCAAGCTACATCAGAACCAGCCACCACTGGTCTTGACTCATCACACACAGAGGTGCTACTGTGCAAACAGGAACTGTGATGAAATCTAACTTTGTGAAGTGAAAAAATGCATGGCTTCAAGGCAGCTGCTCCTGGAGAGAAGAAAGGAAGGTGGCACCTCATGGCCCTGAGCTCAATAGATCTTGAGATCTCAACTTGTGTGGCTCACTTTCACTGGCAGGAGAGTCAAGCTCTAGATCACTCAGTTGTTCGCTATGGTTGCACTAGCAGGCAATTCAAAATTGTGGCACTGCCATCAGCTTACTGTCCTTCAGCACACGATCACCTGGGACAGGAAGAAGCATCTAAAAGACAAGATGAACAGAACACTGATCACAATTTAACTAACAGCATGCAGTTGGTGTCTCTCAAAATCTGTGGGTTCTTCTTCCCAAACAAAGAATTTGCTAAAGTGATATACAGCATGTACACCTTATTGTGTCTTAGAAATATACTTAGAAAAAGTTATTTGGAAAGGCACAGAGCATGTGCAATTGAGTTCCCTGCAGATCCGTGCACTTGGGGAATCCCTAGACTAAGCTGCAGTGATTAACAGTGGACAGGGTGCTGTTTTATAACTAGATCATTTCTTTCAAATTCCAGTTCTTTCCAAGGGAAACTGGGGAAATAAGGAGTGCTGTCAAGGAAATGCAGGGCAAGAAATTCAACCTGCACACCAAGACAGACTGGAACATATAAAGTCTCACAGATCTTGTTCTTCAGGTCACATGAAAGGAAAATTTGTAGTCTAATTTTAAAAAAAAATAAAATCACTAAAGCTAGCTAAAAAGAGTAGAATTATCAAAGTGCTTTAATATATATAAAGTGTCGAACATAATTAAACAGGACCATTAACACAGAGCTGCCATAAGATGTTCAAATAGGTACCTGTGTTTTCTGAATGCAGGAGAGGAGCACAGGTTTTTAATTTCCCCCATAGCGCCAAAGTGGGTTATGAAAAGTTTCTCTTGTTCATTTAAGCTTCTTAACATGATGTATTTGCTCTGCTCATGCATTCGAAGGCACAGTTGGATTTGCTCTACCTGAAACTGCATCAAAAGGACTGTCTACCATGAAATATTAATCAAGGGGCAGCTCTCACTGAGAAAAACACGCCACAGCCTCATAAACTAGATTTATAGTTGTCTGTCAATTCATAATGTTAATTTTATAAGGCATTTCTCGATGTTTAAAAATTCTGAGCTATTTTCTGCAGCTTTCCTTTAGATGTAGTTTAAGGCAACTGAATGTGTTACTTGAACCATCCAACAGACTGCCCAAGCTGTTATAACAAGAGCAAATGTAAACAAATAAGGAAGAGGTTTCAAAACCAGGTCGTGCAAGATCCTCAGACAATGTGCCTTTGCCTCCCTACTGGCTTTTCCCCTCATGTTATAAATAAGGAAAAGAGCCATTTTCCACAGCACGTCTCTCAGTACTTCCAATTCATTAGGCTGCTGCATACCTTAATCAGATGTTCTTAGAGATGCTCTCTACCAAGCATAGTAGAGCTAACTGCAGTGGTGGAGGGGGGAGATGTGACTGTTTATAAACAAAAAATGGCTATCAAGACCTTACCTGCAATTCATAGATGCAAAAACAGATTTGCTCCAGTAAGCTGAGACTCAGAAGCATGACACAGAGCACTGCACCTGGTCCCTTGCACAGGCACATGCTGCCCCAAGTCTGAAGTAATACCTAGTCTCAACAGAACAACTTGTCTGTTTTCTGAAGGCACCATAAAGACAGCAACACTCTAAGCGTAATGGGAAGAGGCTGGGGGAGGAAAAACAACAAATACAGTTAGAGGGAGACACTAAGAGCAGCTTAGTATAACAAGGGAGAGAAAAGGTGGCTCAGTCCTAGGATGCCTGTAATATCTGTAACAGCACAGAGACCCTACACCTCTAGGCAAAGAAAGAGTAACAGAAGTTTGGAGAAATCTGGTCCTGAAGAGAAAGAATTCAACTCTCATTTTCAGAGGATGGGTGTCAAATCTGTAAGTGAAATCAAAGGAGATAGAAAAGAATCAAATGCTATATAAAACACTGGGGTCCATACACACTCACATGGCATCATTAGCCTGTTTCTGATTTACCACAGTGTTAAAGGATCTGGACAGTCTCCTTTGCTCTGCAGGATGACTGAAGTCCAGGGATGTTTCATCTAATAAAACCCTTCCGAATCCGCCAGTGAGAACAAATCCTTCTCCCCAGCCCGTCGGAGGGAGGGAGGGTGACTCCCAGTCAGGAGAGATTTCTAACAACCCCAGGCAACCTACAGGCAGTATGCTACTGAATTAGGTCACCTAAGTAGCACTGCACCAAGCAAGTCTAGGCTTGCTAAGATGTTCTGCCCCTTGCATGGACTTTAGGACAATTTCTCATGAGCCCTTCAGGCCCGTGGCTCATGCTTCACTGTTCCACTATTGCTTTTCAAATCCGTTTTCCTTCCCGTCTTCCCCTCTCGCTCCCTGTTATCCCAGGAGGACTTTCTGCATCCTGCGCGCAGCGACGCTGGCCTCGTCATCAGAGTCAGACTCGCTCTGGGAAGTAGAGCTCTGGGAGGCAGAGCTGAAGGGAGAGGAGCACTCTGGGGAGCACAGGTAGTGCATGAGCGGGAGGCGATACTTCCCACAGAAGTCAACGAACTTGATTTGTCGGACGCAGCTGTCGAAGTAGACACCTGTAAGGGCAGAGGGAACGGTAAAAACACATGAGATCCTCTGCTGAGAGACCTGTAAACTCTGCAAGGCTGTTGTGCCTGGTGCATATGCCTCCCATGGGGATTTAATTGACACTGCACTGGATGTAGGAGCACAACGGACACCGAAGAAGACCAGGATACCTATGGAAATGTGAAATTCCGTTTCTTGGTTAAAAGACAAGGAAAAAATCCTGTAAAACTAATTGGTAGGTGATTCAGAACAGCACACTCTTCATGTAAAAACATAGGGCAGTTACTTCCAAATAACGTGGCAATTTCTCCTAACCATGAGGGATAAAACTCAGGCTGGGAATTTGCAAACTTCTTAAATGTCAAATGAATTCATATTTTCAAACTTGTAAAACCTCTTCTACCAGCTACTAAAAATGCATTCACAAATAGACCTTCACGGCTCTACTTTTCTTCTGCTTGAGTGAAGTCACCATGCTGAGCTTGGATGCTACTTTCCATGGCAACAGTCTTGCTGTAACACACAATTACGTTCTCTTCCTGTCACAGCAAGTGATTTTAGACGCTGACATTTTCAGAAGTTTCCAGCAGTGCTTTAAGTCCTATCTGGTCAGGAGTAAGCTTTTCTCCTGCAGTGCTAGAGCAATGCTGCAGTACTGTGCAAGTTCATAGGGCAAAGTGAAAAAGCACAAAAATCAATTCACTCTTATCCAAGCCGTGCAAAAATATAGAAAATGAAACTTTTCTTTCACTCCCAACACAAGTTACAGCCCTTCTGTCTTTGCTTAGACAACATGATTTATTATTGTCCCGTAAGGAGATAAGATAACAGCCTGCATTATGACTGCAGGGTAGATACTAATTAATGATTTTTTTTCCCCTTAATCTTCTAAAGGCTAAATGAGCAGATCATTTACTCTGAAAAAAGATTAAGTATTGAGCCAAATTAAGGCCAAGCATTCCAGGCTTTTCTATGAAGTTCTCTCCTTCCAGGAACTACATGCTAGTAGTCCCAAGCTGGAGCTAAACAAGTTGCTCTTGGTAGCTGTGAAGCACTACAGCCTCTCTCCTCTTTTCCATCCAGAAATGACACATCCTGCAAGAATGCTTGCCAAAGTTCTCCCGTCCATTACTTACTCTGAGCTACTTCGGGGCAGATGGGTGGGAAACTTCAGACCATAAAACTCTAGTGGAGTGCTGGGATGAGCTACAAAGAGTGACAGAAGCACTGTCTTGCATTCCCATGCAAATACAGCAAACCAGCACTACAACTCTGAACACTTCCCACATGAACAAGGTTCCTTAAAAATAAGCTTGCAGGAGACCTGGAGCCAATGAAATACAGTCAGAATGTGGATGCAACAACACGGCAAACCTGACTGAGCTACTGGAGTCATGGCAAGTCAGAGGGAAAGAAAACTCCTTGGGTAAAAGCAGGAAGCAGAGCTGTAAAGGTGAACTTACCCCCACATTTAGGATTGGGACAGTTGCTGGCCAAGCTCAGGTAGCGGACAAGATTCTCCGGGAGATCGCTGGGAGCATAGGGAACGTTGCGTGTTTTCACGGTGCGTCCGGCGAGTTCCTGAAGGCTTGGGGGGTTGTAGGTCAGGTCACGCACAAACCGAACCACCAGGGGGTTCCCACGCAGGCTCAGCTCTTCTAGGTGAACCAAGTTAAGGATCTCTCGAGGAAGGTAAGTCAGCAGGTTATTGTGAAGGCTAAGGGAACGCAGGGAATGCAGCCTACGGATGGAGATGGAAACCCAGTCAAGATGTGCATGCAGTATCTGTTCCACAACTGCATTATGCAGACCCGAGCACTCTCCCCTCTCCCACCAAGTTCTTTGTCTTTTCTCCCTTTTAAAACAAACTCATGCTAAAAGAGGTGCTGTTACTCCAGCATACACAATGCACTAGAAAACATGGCTCAGCTCCAGAATACCTGGTAAAGAAACAGTCTTAAATATGCTGCTGTCCCTCTCAGTATTCTCCACACACTCCTCCAGGAAAGGCAGCACAGAACACAAGTGTACAGACTGAGTGCCTTCAGGGGACAGAACATTTCCTTATAGCCAGTGCATGCATCCAGAACAGTTCTGTGCAGTCCTCTGAAAAAGTCACCTGGTTTCTCTCATGCATTAAAGATAAGTGCTGGTAGGCAGCCAGCCCAGAAAAACACCTGTTTTCATTGCTTGTGGCTGCACCACCTCACGCTGTGATCCTACCAGATCCCAAAGGCTAAGCAAGGTCAGGCCAGGCTGGTGTTGGCACAGGTGACAAGCAGTTGTTTGGCGTTTGGAGGAAGCATTCTCCTCTCAGGAAGCACAAAGAGATGCTTCAGCATGGCATCCAGGGATGCTCCCTAACCACTAAAAGTTGTAAGACATTGTACATCAAAAGTAATCCCACTACACCATCAATTTCCAACTCAGACAAACTGCATGTTTCCATTCAATTGCTTTTGGAGTTACAGCTACACCTCCCATCTTCACTTCCCATCGTAGGCTACTTGTACAGAGCTGCACTGTGCTCTCTCCTCTGTTATGAGCAGATAAAGCACTAACAGCCCCTAGAACTGTGCTGCAGGGTTTAATGAACACTAAACCATTCTGAGATCCTAGTGTAAGGAACGCCAAGGGAACACAGGGGATGGTGCAAGACAAAAGCACACACAAAAAGGCTTTGGGTGAAAGACATAACAGACCAAGCACTCATCACTTAGAAAGTGGTAGCATTCTTGCTTCTTATGGTAGCAGTTCATCTTTTCTGAGTTGCACAGGTACTTCTCAGGGCCCTCTGTATAAATCTACTAATTCACCTTAAAGTGTAATCTTGGTGGTATTTTTTTCACATAACCCTTTGATTCAGATTTCCATATCATATATTCACAATCTGCCTGCAGTGCACCATGCTAAGGATCTTCTTGTTTAAGTCTAGTCACATTAACAAGCTGAAGGGCAAATAGGTCCTCACGGAAGGACACATGCAGAAGAAAGTTCAAAGAGTTAATTACAGCTGGTGGCTGATGACAGCAAATACTCACTGTGCCAGCTGGGGTGGAATGCTCTGGATCTTGTTGTCACACAGAACTAGGTACCTTAGAGAAGGCAGTTTTGCTAATTCAGGTGGAATTGAAGTAATGAAATTCCCTCCCAGGTAGAGAAACTCTAAACTGAAAGAAAGAAGAGAAAACAGAGCATTATTTCATTAGAGTAATTTCCTTTAACACCACCTTCACATCTTTTGCGTTTCTTAAAGAAAACTTACAGAGGATTATGCATGAGCTACTTTGTTGAGAGAAAAAAAAAGCTGAATTGCACGTCAAAATTACAACAGAGCTGTTGTTTCACAACAGATAATGTTGAGGTTCACCTGCAGACTCCTGCAGTCACCATTACATCTCCAGGTAGGCACCAGACAGCTGTGCATTCCTACACCAACCCAGCACACTCCTATTCCCAAGGAAGAGCAGCCTGCACACGTAGGGTCCACAGCACCAACACAGGCCCTGCTGCAGCCAGTGGGAGATTCCAGTTTCAGTAGGAGCAAAGCAAGAGAGCAGTGTCTCCCCGTGAAAATCCCTGCCTGCACAAGCACTGGTTGCTCTTTATGGTGTCATCTGACTCCTTGGTGACTAACTGGAACCTTTCAGCACAGAGTGTGCAGCCAGTCCCACTTTGATACAATGCACACACGGACAACACCACAGCTACAACAGCACAGAGTAAACCTAAGTACATTGAGTTTCTCAGACATCGATTTCAGTATACTGAAGTCATGAAGCCTAGACATACCAAAAATGTTAGCTGGGCTTAACTGCAGTTTAGGCCTAAGTAAAAGAAAAGAATCACTGGATGTGCTGTGAAAACTCAGTAGAGATGGGAACAGAGAGGCACTAGATCCCTTCTGCCAGGTGCAGTAGCCAGAATTTGCTATGCATCTCTGCCCTTCTAGGAAGAAAAATTGGCAAGCACTTCTCTTTGACAGAATAGCTTTGAGTCCCCATTTCAGGGATTCAAATAGCTTTCTTTCCCTGTTCTCAGATCTTGTCTGGAAGAGAAGCAAAGGCAGGTTCAGTTTGGGTACTTCTTGCTAATCACAGTCCAGACAAGACTTTTTTCCCATGCTTGAAAAAGGTGGATCCCACGGTCCTGGTTCAGTATCTCCAGGACAAATTCAGGTTAGCTGCCTAACTACACTGTACATTGGCCTTCCCCACAAGTCAGGGGGAAGTGAAATCATTCAGGCTCCATCAGCCTATCTTTAAGAATAGGTTATAACCTCCTTGGAATAGGAGACACCTTCATCTCACCCCAGCAACTAAGAAAGGCCATGGATACAACTGGCACAGAAACACATGAACAAAGCACCCAAGCAACCCAAAGAAGGTCTGAACTCTGCAACTGTGCCACAGCATGTGTGGAGCACCAGAGAAGCTCCTCCCTGAGGCTTCCCCTGGGATGGAGCAGAACAGTAGAAAGTCTATTTCACTCAGTTCTTGCAAGAAACTTGAACCTCAAAGATCCAATGGCAACACCTGCTTGGGCTACAGAGGCCACTAACACAGCACAAAGGCCCACCTGCCTAACAGCGAAGAACAGAATGCCAGACCTCTGCAACACACCAGGAGCTGCTCACAGAGCCTAACCTCCCCTGGATTCACTTACCTTTTCTGGACTATGTCAAAGGCAAGCTAAATAACTGAAATTTGACGATGCGGGCACAAAATTAAGGCTTAAACTGAATTTGACTACATGAGAGGAAGTAACTACACTTGTTTCAGCTGAGTTGCCAAGTGGGACAGCACATTTGGAGGTTACTCTGAACACTCAAGGAAGTAGACAAGTTAAAACCACACCAATCCCCACTGCTCATAAGTGGCCTCTCTTCTACATAGACAGCCTGTAGGTGAGGCATGGGGGTAGGAAGAAGGCTGCTGTGCAGAGACCATGACAACGAGAGATTATTTTTAATTAACTTTTGATCCCCTAACAAAGCCCTGAGTTTTAACCAAAATTCCTCCTTCAACCTCCATTGTTTCCCAAGGTGGATTTATGCTGCTTGGCGTTTATTAGGGACTTAACTGCTGACCATACAATTCCCTGGCGTATTTTAACTCCATGCCACTACTGAAGCCCACACCAAAAACTGCTGGGCAAGAGAATTCTAGCAATGTGGATTTCAATATTTAAACAAGGTTTAGATATGTACAGGTTTGCACGTCCTAGGAAAAGTGAATAATTAACTCTTCAACCTCTGTGTTTGACGATACTAATGGCTGTAAAGACACATGGCATAAAAACACATACTACCAGGCAAGGAGAAGAGAGGTGCAAAATATCTAGTAAAAATGTGTTGGAAATTCATTTCAAAGCATAAAATCCTAAGTTTCAAAAGCAGCTTACTGTACAAACTAAGTCTGTAAAACCACTGTCTACAAACTACTTAAAGTTTCAAATCCATTCTTTGTGAAGTCTGGGTAACGAGAACATTGAGTCATGCCAGGTAGGACATAAGCCCCAATATGAGAATACAAACTGTCTCTAACTAAAAATCCACTAAACAAGATAATTCCCTCAGTGGCAACAAAGAGCTTCTTAAAAATTGTTCTCTTTTTACCTATCTTCTGAATCACCTTTTTGAGGTCAGTAGACTAATAACTCACTGGGCCCAGACTGGTACAGCAAATTCAGAATTTCCATATCGACTTATGTTATTAATTAGATGGTTAATTTAATAAAAAACCACAGGGAGGAGGTTTTGAAACTATAAAGAAACTTATTTAAAACATATGAAAGATATTCTTACAGCTTCCACTGAAACACTGCTCAGCAGGCAAATGAAATCCAGAGCTCCCATCCCTCAAAATACGATTCGCTAGACAGAAAGATTTGGCCTAGTCTTAACTAAGCAAGGTGAAAAAATTAACAACAGCCATTTCTGCATCACATTAAAGTGTCAAGAATGGTCTGGGGAAAGCTAATCATGACACAAGAAAGGATTTTCAAGACACAAGACCCTTTTATAAAGAGCACTGACCATACCACTGGGTCCACAGTTTGTTCCCAGCTCATCTACTCCTGGCCTGATTATTATGTCATACTAAGCCTGTACCTAGAGGCCAACGTGGTGCTGGTTGTCTCCTCGAGGGGAGGCAGTTTGCTGCTCGGTAAGACATGCAAAAGCACTGCCCTCCTCACTCTAGAGCCTGCAGCAAGGCAATCCACAACATTTGCCATAGGCTTTCACAGGAGGACCATAGCAGAGACAGGACTGAGCTTAGTGAGTACTTCTAACTAACCTTTCACACTGAGACCTGGTTCTTCTGACAATCATTAATCTGTACAGTCATTTTTGATCGATCAGTTAAAGTCTTGTGCACCACTGTGTACACAGAGGGAGAGATGGAATTTTTTCTGTACTTTCAAAAGTAAGTCCAGAAACTGCCAAAAGCCAGAGAGCAACCAGCCTCGAACAAGCATAAACTCAGTTCCTATTTTTGAAGTTAGAATAAATTATGTACTTCCAACCTGCCACATGGGCCCTGGCTGAATGAGCTTCAAGAGGGGGCAAACACTAACAAAATCAATCTCAACAAAATGTGAAAAAAACCACCCCAACAGCCATTTGATAGAGTAACTAATGAGGGTTGACACTTTCTCTCCTGCCTTTTAGCAGTGTCTGCAAATAAACTAATAAAAGGCCAGAGTCCCTTTCAGGCTCATACCCACAGCCCCCCTGCTCAGCACAGCCAGTATTAATTGCTGCCAAGCAGCAGTCAGCACGCTGAGCCCATCATGTGTTGCTCCTCTCTAGCAAGGTATGTCACATCACTGGGCTGTAGGGTGGCAGTGAAAGTCCTTTTACACATTAGGAAAGGAGCAGAAAAATTTTCAAACAACTGTGAATTAATTCAGGTGGTGTCACCAAAGTTTAACACGCCAAGAGACTGTAAGTTCTTGCTTATGTCCTTGAGACTTTCAGGTTATCATATACCACATATCAAATCAAGAAACCCTAGAACATTCAGTAAATAGGAAGAGCCCACTCGGAGCACTAGAGGTATTTCTGTCACCCCCATTACCACAACACTCCCATTTCAAGAGGAGAATGTCTTCTGGCATAGGAGATACTCAGATTTTCAATCCACCCTGTTTGCCCACAGATGATGCTTTGGATAAAAGTTAACAGCTGACATCAAAGAGATACATCTAAATAGGTAATCTAAAAACAAAAAAACAAACCAAAACAACAATGGTGCCTGAAATAGCTCCAGGTCTTTTTAAGATAAACTTTTTAGCAAGAAATTTCCAGGGCAGTTTGGAGGCTCATGCAAGGGAGGATTTCAAAGCAGCCCACAATCCACTCCTGTTAACCCTGTTCTACGATTTGCTAATTCCTGAGAGAACTGCGCAGCCTTTGCTGACACGCAAATTTAAGATCAAACGGTCGTCTGAAAACTATTTGCAAAACGTTTGAAGAGGGGAAGAAGAAGAGAGGCAGCAAGCAGATTTCCTAATGCTGCATCTTTATCAAAGCCTCACTTGCCCTTTTTCCCACACTGTCACAGCCCTTCTTTAAGCGTATGCTTGTCTAACATGCTTAATACTACCCACGAATGAAAGCAAATGCTCTGGTTTGCACTGCATCTAAGCCTTGACACAAAACTTGGAGGAATCCGGTTAGTCGTTTGAGGTCTTTGATCCCAGCCCTTGCACAACTGGGCTTTATTCGAGGAATACAAGCAAGAAGGAAAGGAGCATGCACGGCTCTTTTCCAAGCTCTTTCTGCCTGCTCACGGTGCTCTGCTGAACATGGCAGTATTCACTAGCAGAGCACCACTAAACTCGATATTCGCATCAGGAGCTTCAAAGTATCAACTGCATTTCGCTAAGCACTCCAGAATGTTTCACTTGCAGGACATTTCCCCAATGTATCCTTAGGCCAACAGCTACAGTTGCATGGGAAAGATCAGAGCTGTATTTTACCAGACTTGCCACTCCAATTTTGTCCAGGCTGGGCACAAGCACATGTCCACATTCCTGTCTCACCAGCTGTGTTACACATTGTGCCATTAGCACATCCCCAGCTGGACCAGCAGAGGAAGGATATGCAGAACCAGCACAGCAGTGGGATCTCTATGCAGATCACAGTTCAGGAGCTGCTGGGGGGCTGTGAATCAGGTCTGAGAGAGAGTGACTGACTACAACAGGTCACACTGAAGGTGTGTGAGGTCAGGAGAGGGAGCTACAGAAAAGATAACACTTGTGTCTACCTATGCTAAGCTCCTATTTTATCTAGCAACAAACAGGAAAGCAATGCAAAGAGAGCTGCTCTCACATATCTGGGGCATTCACCACTTTAAATTCACAGCAACAGTCTCACACTGTACTGACATGACAGCTGACAGGAGCTGGGGGTGGTGGGCATACAGAAGGAGCCAGAATCATGATTAAAAGCCCTCGGCAGGGGCAACACCTACATTTCTCAGAAACATACGAGGCTGTTGCTGGCCACCCTAGTATGCTTACAGTGGAATTAAGATGAAAGAGCATTGCATTTTCCTAATGGAAAACATGAAGCAAGGCTATTCATCCCTGGTGCCAGCATGCTATGAACAGCATCATCCTACTGCCATCACCAGAGCAATTGTGATCATACACTTCTGAAGCCCTGAGAAGGAATGTGAAGGAAGCTTCAAGCATATAGATGGTCCCTCTACAACAGCCTAAGAGGTAGCTGATAATCAGGTACAAGGCACTCAGTTTCCAGGCAGAATCTTGC